TGCGTACAGAGGGCACGGAGGAACCCATATGTGCATGCCTCCACCTTTACAACACGATCTTGCAACGAAGCGTCCCGCCGCCAGCCAGCTGGAAGAGCACAACCATCACAGTAATGCCAACATGTGGATATCTCATACTTCCACTCAACTGCCGCCCCATCTGCACGATATCATTGTTGTGCACGCCATTCGGCCGACTGCTGTGCAACAGGCTACAACAAACACCTGACTCCCACCAGACTGCCGACCAGGTGGGCTTCAGACCAGGCCACTCGACCACTGACCACCTTTTCACCTTCCACCTATTACGTGAGCGACGAGCGAGCACACGAATGAGGCCAGCATCTATCGACTGCGGTACTCGACTTCGAAAAAGCTTTCGATTCAGTTGAGCACAGGAGCATATGGGCAGCACCGAAAGCACATGGCTTGTAACCTGGATACGTTGCACAAATCCAGCAGCTCTGTGAGGAACAGACAGCTACGGTAAAGACAGACGTCAACAGCAGATCCTTCAGCCTCCTGCGGGGCACGCAGCAGGGCGACCCACTTAGATCCCTACTGTATAACGCTCTTATGCAACACATCCTCGGCCCGCTGATCTCCGAACGGCAGCGGGAAGTGAAGGGAGTCAAAATAGGATTCGCGAACACCGCTACGTTTACCAACCTATGCTTCGCCGACGACGTGCTCCTGACTAGCCAAACCCTCCCGCGTCTGATGACGATTCTCGTCGACACTGTGTGCGCAGCAAACCCGCACAGGCGCGAACTACACCCGAGCAGAACAAACACATTAAGCAAACGGACGAGAGGGATTGGGAGGGCGAGTTCACGCACAGGAGCTGTCCAACAGATGGATGCAGAAAGCATTCCGTACGAAGGCAGTCTCAAATACCTCGGCCAACTGATCAGCTTCCACGAACCGATGGACACGGAAATTCAAAACCCCGCGAGAGTTGCATGGGCATCGTTGAGTTCTTGCAAACACAAGCTGAACAGCAAGTACTACCCTCTGCCCCACCGACTCCGGCTAGTCAGCAAGCTGTAACACCGACAGTATTGTACGGAGCAGAAGCGTGGACGCTCACGGAGCCCCTCCAGCGACGGACGCAACGACGCATGCTTCGCATGATCATCAAAACGCTACGGCGACGCACAACATCACAAGCATACCTTTACACCCGCCAGAGACCCACTGTTTTTGACAGCACAAATAATGAGACACCAGACAACGACCACAGCACCAACAGCACTAGCGACGACGCAGACAGCAACCCACTTCAGCGCGAAACGCCGGCCACGCCCGACGTGCACAGCGAGAGCGGCGAAGACATCACAACCGCAGACCCGCTGGAACCTTGGGGCGAATAGTTCAGCGAGCGACATGACGCGCAGAGCACCTCATGAAGCTTCCCCGCATCGACAATTCGGCGAGAGAGCACAAGCGAAACGTATGGCCCATGGCTTTCCGAGTCGCCAGCCACGACCGAACACGGTGGACATGGCAGGTCTTACACTTACGACCAGACCTCAGCCGACGACAGCAGTGGCAGGGGCAGCACGGTGGCCAACGAAAGCATTGGGACGACAAAACGAACGCCTACTTGCGCCAACGCAGACCAGACCTCCACCGACCATCCAAACACATATCAGACGAGAGGACAACCGAACGACATCACATTGTCGCAAATAGCCCAAGGCATCGAATTTTTGATGGCGCTCGATCATCATGTACACCGACCTCATACCAGCGAGCGCCCAGGACGAAGACTCATGAAGCGAACGCCCAGAGAAACCAGAGGCGACACCCCCAGCCCGCGCCGACACTGACACCAAGGACTTCCTCTTCTTTCTCACCCTCCTCCCCTCCGCACGTCTCCAGGCAAGCCAGATTCTCGAGGCCGCGGACACTGTCCGCAACGGTGGTGGCATTGCATCGCAGCTGGGAGCTCCTGGCAGTTTGCGGAAACTTATGAAATAAGACAGTCTAGACTCGCGCCCAAAGACCTCCGAACAATCTCGAACACCTCCTCTTCTCCTGCTCCCCATTCTTGTTGGGACGGCTTGCGCCCCCTCGCGGGCAAATCTTGTGTTCGTTCGCTGCGACCGTTGTTCGCTACCCCCGTCGGTGCTACCGCGGCAGCCAAGCACTCCGCGATATCCGGAAAGATTTTCCTCGTCGTTGTCGTCGTCGTCGTCGTCGTCGTCGTCCTCAACCGCCTCCTTCTGCCCCTCCAGTTCCGACGATGTGCCTCCTCCTCCTCCTCCACCTCCTTCTCCTCCATCATCTTCCTCCTCCTCCTCCACGCTCTTCCCCCCCTTCCCTCCTCGTCCTCCACCCCCTGCCGCTGCTCACACTCCTCCTTCCCCTGGGCCTCTCCTCCCCCCCGCAGCCGCGAGCGGCTCGAGGCGCCCGACCGGGCAGCGGCGCCTGCCGCAGGCGGGGTTCCTTGAGCCTCCTCCGTGTGCGCTCCCCCTTGCTCCTCGGGGGGGAGGGGAGGCGGATGAGGGCAGGTCGCTGTCGTCGTCGTGGTCGTGGTCGTGGTCGTGGTCGTGGTCGTGGTGGTCGTCGTCGTGGTGGTGGTGGTGGTGGTGGTGGTGGTCGTCGTCGTCGTCGTCGTCGTCGTCGTCGTCGTCGTCTTTCTTGTCTCCCTCACGCCCACGGCGAGCTGGTGTTTTGTTCTCCGTCGATTGGACAGTGTCTGGGGAGGGAGAAGGCGGGAGGGGAGGAGAAGGAGGATGAAGCAGAGAGAGCCCGACCCCTCACAGGGTCCCGAAGCGCTGGAGGAGGTCGAAGACGTCCGCGGCCGCCGACACCGGCACCGCGACCGATGGTGATGGTGGTGGTGGTGAGGATGAGAAGGGGGACCAATGGGGGAGGGAAGGGTGAAGAGGGACGTTGGAGGGGAGAAGGAATAGGACGATGACGCGGAGGAGGACGAAGATAATAGGGAGCAGGTAAAGGAGGAGGTGGAGGAGACTAGGAGGAATTGCAGCCATAGGGGAGGTTTGTTTGGGCTTCAGCCATCGTTTCAAGCTGAGGGCTGGTCTCTGTCCAATCCCTACTCTTTACCACAGTTCATCAACAGAACGTTGTGACGGTTCGTCTTACGATGTCTGGCGGTAGGCTGAATTGGATGTCGGTGGTACTATGAGAACCAAGGTCGTCAATTCAACGCTGGGCAGGATGGTCTTTGTCGTGCTGCCATGTTTCCGCTGCCACTCACCAACAGAGCATTGTGACGATTCGTCTTATGACGGCTGCAGGTGGGCTCAGTGGATTTGGGTGGCACTACGTGGTCCATGATTGTTTTTCAGCCAGTGTCCTCTTCCTTCGGACGCACTTGACTGACAGCTGTACGGTCAGTACGTGAAGCAGGTACAGCACTCATCAAAACGGAGGTGGATGGTCATGTCAGACTGTAGATGCAAACGTACTGACATTTCCAGTTTACTGGGCTTCGGTTGGGAAACACACATGCGTGATATGCGTTCTTGTCACAATCATGAAGCTGGAGAGCCGAACAGGGGCGAAGTGTACTTGTCCCCTAGACAGCGAAAGCTGGTGTCTATCGAATAATTTAATGCTCGCCGAATGTGGGAACGGAGGATGTGGTTGCCCGCTGGGTGTCTGGGCGCGACTTGTGGCGCATCATGTGGCAGATGCTGTTTCGAGCCTCTTGACGGTTTGGGAACATTCCCCAATCATAGCTTTCGTCTGTAGGGGTCCTTGCGGATACGTATGGTTAGGTGAGGTTTGCCACCGATTCCCGCGGCTCGCCCAGGTGCCCGGGTGCCCGAGTGCCCGGGTGCCCGGGTGCCTGGGTGCCCGGGTGCCTGGGTGCCCGGGTGCTTTAAAGTCTTATAGCCCTATAGCCCTATAGCCCTATAGCCCTATAGCCCTATAGCCCTATAGCCTTATAGCCCTATAGCCCCATAGCCCAATAACTAGCCCTGTAGCCCTATATCCCAATAGCCCTATAGCCCTATCGCCCTAGAGCCCCACAGATCTATAGCCCTATAGGCCCATAGTTCTATAGCCCTATGGTCCTATAGCCCCATAGCCCTACATATTCATAGCCCTATGGCGCTATAGCCCTATAGTCCCATAGCCCCAGAGCCCTGTAGCCCCATAGCCCTATAGCCCTACAGCCCTACAGCCCTGTAGCCCTGTAGCCCTATAGCCCTATAGCCCTGTGGACCTATAGCCCTATGGCCCTATAGCCCTATAGTTCCATAGCCCTATGGCCCCATAGCCCCATCGCCCTGTAGCCCAATAGCTTCATAGCCCTATGGCCCCCCAAAAAAGACTTTGATTGGGTCTCTCTCCGATATCATATACTTGATCAGTGTTCGCTCCTGCGCAGCATATTTCTCCACTTGCAGCCTTCCGTTTCGGCCCTTCTTCCTCCTCGGAAGCTAAAGGGTGCCAGGTCGCCTCCGACTTCGGGTGCCGGGACCGCTGTGCCGTCGCCTCTGGTGCGCTGTCACTACCTACCGGCAGTGAGGCACGGACATTTCGCACTGGTTTGAAGCATCTTCGAACACGGTGCATTTTTGAGTCGTCTGCGAACGGCAACATGCGATAATGGCGTCGTGAAGGGAAGCGCCCATTTCGGCACAGAGCCAGCATGGCCAGCGTGAGTCAGCATATTGGCTCACAAAGGCAAGAAGATAACGGCTGGGCGCTGTGGGAGGAGGCGGAGGAGGCGGAGGAGCAGGAGGAGGAGGAGGAGGAGGAGGAGAAGGAGGCGGAGAGGAGGAGGAGGAGGAGGAGGAGGAGGAGGAGGAGGAGGAGGAGGAGGAGGAGGAGGAGGAGGAGGGAGGAGGAGGAAGGAGGAGGGATCCCTCCTCCCTTCTCCTGAGTCCCTCCCGGAGGGCTTCTGGAGAAAATCCCGATCCTCGATCCTTGACCCTTCCTTCTCCCTCCCTCCCTGCCTCCCCTCCCCCCCTCCTCGGCCGCGCCGCCTGCGTCCCCCCCGCCACCTCGCCGGGCCCATGGAGGGGCACAGGGTCAGCGCCGCCAACGCGCAGAGGCCGAGCGTCGCTGCGGGGCCAGGCGCCTGGGGGGACGCGAGCTAACGTCGACCAGCGATCGATCGACGATCGATCGATCCAGGGCCGATCGAGGATCGGAGAGGGATCGATCCAGGATCGATCGGAGTTTCGAGGGTCCAGGATCGGGGATCGCGGTCCGAGGTTCCTGGATCCACGATCGAGGTTACGGGATCGAGGATCGAGGTTCGAGGAGCCAGGTGGGGGATCGCGGTCCGAGATTCCAGGATCCACGATCGAGGTTCCAGGATCGTGGATCGAGGATCGAGGACCGATGCTTCAAGACCAAGAATCGAGGCTCCAGGATCGATGCTCGAGGACCCATGATCAGGGATCGAGGTTCCAGGATCGCACAGGCTCTCGGAGGTCCTCTTCGGGTGGCTCCCCTGTTGGCCTTCGGGTGGCTTTCGGGCGGGTCCTGCGGCGGCCTTTCGTAGGCCCTCAGGGAAGGTTTCGGAGAGCCTCGCCCTAGGAGGCCAGGAGGAGGGAAGAGGCACTCGATAATCAGCGTTTCTCATTGGGTTCCCCGCAGGGCTGGAGTCGCGGCGGGGCCCCAGGACACAACGATCGCGCGCACCCCTCCAGATGCGCGTGCGAGAGCGCCGACTCTGCCGCCCCCTGCGGCCGCCACGCTGTCCTCCGTCTCTCGCCGCAGCGCAGCTTCGCCGTCGTGCTCTTTCGGGGTCGTGAGGTCGAGGTGCTCTCCTGGCTCTGCGGGGGAAGCGGGTCCCCAGCTCCACTGCGAGACCGTCGGCTCTGCGGCCCGCTGCGGCCGCCGTGCTGCCCTCCGTCTCTCGCCGCCACGCGCAGCCTCGCCGTCGCGATTCGCGGGGCGTGGGGGCCGAGGTGGTCGAGCTGGCTCAGCTTCGAGGGGCAGGCGGGCGAGGTGCGATGGGCAGGGGCGGGGGAGGGAGTGCGGGCGCGGGGTGGCGGGAAGGGTGTGGGGGGGGGAGGACCAGGAGGGTGGAGGGAGGGGACGAGGAGCAGGGCGGGAGGAGGAGGAGGAGGAGGAGGAGGAGGAGGAGGAGGAGGAGGAGGAGGAGGAGCAGGAGGAGGAGCAGGAGTAGGAGGAGGAGGAGCAGCAGGAGGAGGAGGATGAGGCGGAGGAGCAGGAGGCGGAGGAGGAGGAGGAGGAATATGGGGGAGGTGGAGGTAGGAGGCCACATGCGAACCCCACCCCACCACCCCACGATTTCTAAGGGGTGGGGGGTTCGCTTCGCTCGGGACTTCCCGAGCGGAGCGAACCCCACCTTCCCTCTTAGAAATCGCGGGGTGTTGGGGCAGGGTTCGCATGTGGCCCACTAGGGAGGGGCAAGGGGCACGAGAAGGACCAGGACGAGGGGGAGCAGGTGGTCACGGTCCCCGACTCGTGCTGCTCGGGCCGCGCGCCCGCTCGGGGGTGCAGGCGCGGCGAGCGGTTAGCGGGCGGTCGCCCCGCGCAGGGAACGCGACGGGCGGTCAGGGGCCCGACAGCGGGGGGGGCCCAGGAAGGGGGCCCACTCGAGGCGCCCGCACCGAGGCGCGGCCCGCAGGTTGCGCGCCCTGGCGTCCTCCTGGGGCCGCCTGGCCCCAGCGCGGGGCCACCCTTCGCGGGCGGAGGACACGTCCGTGTCCACGGCCTCGCGGGGCAGGCTCCATGGGCCGTGACCCCTGCGGACGCGGGGCGCTGCTTCGCGGATGTCCCCCGCGCAAAGCGTGTCTGCGCGGCCGCGTATTTGCGGAATCGCTCGCGCCCTGGAATCCTAACCGAGGGCGCGGATGCAGATTTGTTCGCCGCTCTTTCTCCTCCTCCTCCTCCTCCTCCTCCTCCTAAGTCTTGGGTTCATCGGTTTGCGCACCTGGCTTCCGCCCATCAAGTTAGAGCCCTTGGCGGCCCTGGGTCGCCGGACTCCACGTGGATTAGCACTGGCGTGCGCGTTCTGGACCATCGTCCATGTTTGAGGAACTTGTTGAGGAAGGGAGGCAGGGATTCATGGAGGAGGGTATGGAAGGAGGAGGAAGATGAGGAGGTGGAGGTGGAGGAGGAGGGGGATGGGGAGGAACAGGGGGAGAAGGAGGAGGCGGAGGAGGAGGAGGAGGATGAGGGATGAGGGAGGAGGGATGATGGAGGAGGGAGGAGGGATGAGGGAGGAGGGAGGAGGGAGGAGGCAGGAGAGAGGGAGGAGGGAGGGAGGGAGGAGGGAGGAGGGAGGAGGGAGGAGGCAGGAGAGAGGGAGGAGGGAGGGATGGATGGATGTATTGAGGGAGGGATGGTGGGAGGGAGGGAGGAAGGGAGGGACGGATGATGATGATGATGAGGAGGAGGAGGAGGAGGAAAAGGAGGAGTTGGAGGAGGAGTGAGGAGGAGGGCGGAGCAGGAGGAGGAGGAAGAGGATGCTGCTGATGACGATGCTGATGATGATGTTGTTGATGATGATGCTGATGCTGATGCTGATGCTGACGATGCTACTGATGACGATGCTGCTGCTGATGATGGCGATGCTGATTCTGCTGATGATGATAATGATAATGATGACGATGATGAGGATGACGATACTGATGCTGCTGATGATGATGCTGTTTGTGACGATTTTGACGGTGATGATATTGATGAAGATGATGAGGCTGATGCTGATGATGATGCTGATGATACTAACGATGCTGATTATGATGATACTGCCGATGATGACGATGACGATACTGATGATGCTGCTGATGCTGATGACGATGACGATGCTGATGATGATGATGGTGATGATTGTGATGATGCTGCTGCTGATGCGGATGATGATGCTGATGACGATGCTGACAATGATGATGCTGATACTGCTGATGATGATTCTGATGATGATGGTGATGCTGATGATGACGCTGCTGATGCTGCTGATGATGATTCTGATGGTGGTGATGCTGATGGTGATGCTGGCTGCGATGTTGATACTGATGCTGATGCTGCTGCTGATGATGCTGATTATGATGATGATGATGATGATGATGATGATGATGGTGATGATGATGCTGACTATATTGATGATGATGCTGATGAATATGATGATGATGATGCTCCTGATGATGAAGATGATGATGATGATGATGATGATGATGATGATGATCATGATGCTGCTGCTGATGATGATGATGCTGATGCTACGGCTAATGCGGCTGATTATGATGATGCTGATGATGCTGATGATGATGGCGATGCTGTTGCTGCTGATGATGATGATGATGAAGAAGAATATGCTGATGATGATGCTGATGATGCTGATGATGATGACGGGGCTGATGCTGCTGCTGCTGCTGATGATGATGATGCTGATTACGATGAGGATGCTGCTGATGATGATGATGTTGCTGATGATGATGCTGATGCTGGCGATGATGATGATGATGATGATGATGATGCTGAAGATGATGATGATGATGATGCTGATGATGATGATGATGATGATGATGATGAGGCTGATGATGATGGCGATGCCGATGATGATGATGATGGCGATGATGATGATGATGATGATGATGATGCTGATGATGATGCTGATGTTGATGATGATGATGCTGATGATGATGATGCTGATGATGATGTTGATGATGTTGATGATGTTGATGATGATGATGCTGATGATGCTGCTGATGATGATGATGATGATGATCCTGATGA